GTAAAAGTAACTTTTCTGCCCAATAAAAAGATGCCATTTATGTATCCTAACACTGATTTTTTCTTACTAAATTTTAGAAATTCACACAATACTAATCGTTCAGCTCCTTTGAGTCACTCCATTTATACTATCCTGTATTCATTCAACTTCGTACTTTGGCTTGTTTTATTTAACCCATTGAAATATGCTTGCTTAAGAAGTGACATAATAAAAGGAATGTCTAGGTAGTCATATCTTGAATATTCCATTGCAAATAACCACACTTCAATAGTCATGGACACCGTCCGCTCCAGTTTCAGGCCTTCCATTTCCCGACTTTTTCAGCACTTTAATGGTATGCCATCGAAAACATGTAAGGAACATACGACGTTCTCCTGCGCCGTTGTTAGTACCTCCGATATTAATTTGGGAACGCTATCATGAAACACACAATAATGCGTTAAATTGACTGACTAGTTATGCGTCTAACTCATTACGTATATTTATAAACATCTTCGAACTTTACTTGATTTTATTCTCGACCACCGAATTCTCGTCAAAACGCAACCTCCACAAAGTACTCCAATTCTTACAGTGAGCATTGGAATCTTATTAATATTCTAATCTGTGAAAATCTGTCCCCTGTTTATTTGGTTAATGGGCATTGTAAAACACCAACCTGAGTGAGTAACTTATTAAAGCCTGCAGCACTCATAACAATTTGATCTTACCGGTAAACTGCGCCTTACTAACAACTTGTCAGGCTACCTAGAACAGTATATAAAGCATTAAAAATATATTTGTGCCTAGTTACCAAGTCACGTAAAATCACATAATCTGTTAACGGCTGAGCAACGCAGATGTGCTTCATCTGAGCCGCCCCATTTCTCTAATCTACGTCGATGAATCACGAAGACTGCTTAAGTCATCTACACTTGTTTGCAGATGATGTTAAAGTATAGAGGAAAATAAGTAGTCAGACTGGTCATTTTAATTTCCAAACTGATCTAGACGGACTGATTTCATAATCCCAAAGTCCAGGTTTGGAAATTAATTTTAGAAAGCGTGCTAGTGTACACTGGACACGGCATCTGTTACTAGTATAATATAAACGGCAGGTCACTTTCATGAATGCAGAAAAAATAGTAGTAGTAAGTTGTGTATCGAGAACAACTACACACTGATATGCAACCGCTGCAAAAGATTTTGAATGTTGTGGTCATTTCATCTAGTATTCCAGTGCCTTGATGAAGACATATTTCGGGCTTTATATTTAGACTACGAGGCCTCACTTAGAGAATTGCAGCCAAGTAGTAAGTCCTACTCATATTAGGAATCCTATCACATTCAGTGGACAGAACACACATTGAAGAAAGCACCCACATAAAGTCCTTACTTGGAATCCTCAAAATTAAAGGAAAAGAGGAAGACCAAAGAAAACATTACACGATCTACTGAAAGAAGAAGAAACTACTATGGAGGACAACTCGGAAAGTATCAAAGAAGCATTAATTCCAACGTGTCAGGAGGTTCTGGCCCTCAAGAAGCATCATCATAAGGAATCGATCTCTATAGAAACACTGGACAGGATCAAAGAAAGGAAGAACAAGAAGGCAGGAATTAACAACAGCCGAACACGAGCAGAGAAAGTCCAAGCACAAGCCGAGTACATAGAAGCAAACAAGCAAGTGAAGAAGAGCACTAGAGCCGACAAGCAGAAATACATGGAAGAACTAGCATCGATGGCGGAAAAAGCTGCAAGAGAAGGAAATATGAAACAGCTTTACGATACAACGAAGAGACTAGCAGGGAAATATAGTAAACCAGAGAGACCGGTCAAAGACAAAGAAGGCAGGCCAATCACTGAAATTCAACAACAGAAGAACAGATGGGTAAAGTACTTCGAGGAATTCCTGAATAGGCCGACCCCAATGAATCCACCAGACATCGAAGCGGCGCACACAGATCTTCCTATAGGTGTCAATCCACCAACGACGGAAGAAGTCAGAATGGCCATCAGACAAATCAAGAACGGGAAAGCAGCAGAACCCGACAACATATCAGCTGAAGTCAGACATCGAAGTAACTACAAACATGCCTTACCTTCTATTCAAAAAGATTTGGGATGAGGAACAAGTGCCAATGGACTGGAAAGAAGGACACCTCATCAAGATTCCAAAGAAAGGAGATCTAAGCAAATGTGAAAACTACAGAGGCATTACACTACTGTCAGTACCAGGGAAAGTCTCTAACAGAATGCTGCTAAACCGGATGAGACTCAGTAGACGTCCAACTTTGAGACCAACAAGCTGGATTCCGGAGGGATCGGTTGTGCACAGACCAAATGGCGACACTACGGATCATCGTCGAACAATCAATTGAGTGGAACTCGTCACTGTACACCAACTTTATTGGTTATGAAAAAGCATTTGACAGTGTAGATAGGGGAACCTTATGGAAACTCCTTCAACACGGAGTTCCTGAGAAGATTGTCAACGACGGGCTATAGTGCAAAGTAGTGCATGGAGGACAGCTGACAGACGCATTCCAAGTAAGGACCGGAGTCAGACAAGGCTGTCTACTCTCTCCCTTCCTCTTTCTTCTGGTGATCGACTGGATTATGAAGACCTCGACATCTGAGGGAAAACACGGCATACAATGGACAGCTCAGAACCAATTAGACGGTCTGGACTTCGCAGATGACCTAGCACTCCTATCGCGTACACATGAACAAATGCAGATAAAGACAGTCAATGTAGCAGCAGTCTCTGCATCAGTAGGCCTCAACACACACAAGGGGAAAACCAAGGTCTTCAGATTCGAAACGAAGAACAACAATCCAATCACTCTTGATGGCGAAACTCTGGAAGATATAGCATCCTTCACATACCTGGGGAGCATCATCGATTAACAAGGAGGTTCAGATGCAGACGTGAAGTCGAGGATTGGCAAAGCAAGGGCCGCATTCCTACAATTGAAAAACATATGGAACCCAAAACAACTTTCAACCAATATCAAAGTGAGGATCTTCAATATCAACGTCAAGGCAGTTCTACTGTACAGTGCTGAAACTTGGAGAAATACAATAACCACCATCAAGAAGGTACAAGTATTTATAAATAGCTGTCTACGCAGGATACTCAACATCCATTGGCCGGATACCATCAACAACAGCCTTCTGTGGAAGAGAACACACCAGCTTCCAACTGAAAAGGAAATTAGGAAAAGACGATGGAGATGGATAGGACATACATTACGCAAATCACCGAACTGCATCACGAGGCAAGCCCCAACCTGTAATCCTGAAGGGAAGCGTAAAAGAGGAAAGCCAAAGAACATTACGTCGGGAAATCGAGGCAGATATGAAAAGGATGAATAACAACTGGGAAGAGCTGGAAAGGATCGTCCAGGACAGGGTTGAATGGAGAGTGCTGGTGAGCGGCCAATGCTCCTTCACGCGTGACAGGAATAAGAACTTAAGGAAATAAGTGACAACTTGGACTGAAATACTTCGCGGATATCGTCTTAGAAGTCTCAAAGCAAGTGAGTTTCCTGTCTACTTGTAACCGATTTAAGTCACATTGTTAATAACATAAATCTATCCCAGTCATCTGTCTTTGCGATTTTCAGTCGTTTCCGTAACAACCACTGACGTGTCGAATTATGGTCTTTTATGGTTTGAGTTCTGCTTTAATAATAGACTTAATCCTAAACTTGTAGATTTGTCATATTGTAACTGCCTAATCAATAAGATGTCACGTGGAATTGACATTATTATCTACACCAATCATCAGTATATGGTGAAGAACACACTTAGGCTAGAGGTGGAACAATATATTTAATATGAATAAAAGGTATATGTTAACACTCATTAATGACAACGCCTGAAAGACCGAGCCATGCCATTCGATGGATTCGGACTATTTAAATTCATTGTTCCCGCCCTCTCCATCGTTGGGTTTTTCTACGCTTTAAATGTTGAATACGCATTTTCCCAGTTGTATCGTGTTCATCTTGTGTAGTTAGGGCCCAATGCCACTATTGACGTACACTTATTGAAAACATCAACTGTTCTATAGCTGGATCTTAGTATGAGAACAGAAATAACTCTTATTCATAAAAATAGACGAAAAATTTAAAGTAAACCTTCTCACCATAATGTAGCAACGCAAGGAGTCATGGGATAGTTCAAAGTTCGCTATTTTGACAAGACCCTTGTCATTCATTAAGAGTTTGGAGATTTTTAAGTCCCTGTGGATTATAAAGTTTTCATGAAGGTATTTCAGAACTTTGGAAATCTGAAGCATGATGCATTCACATTCAGATAAACAAAGCATATAAGCAGACCAGAGAAGGTAAACATGCCAATCGCTACAATACTCATTACAAGCGTCAGTACAGCAAAAAATAGATAGTGTGTAGCGCAGCAAAGCGACACACTATATGAAATAATAAGTGACAGAGAAACATACACAAAGCACATAGATGAAGATACACAAGGTCGTAAAAATAAGGTGTGTGTATGTAATGGATACGATGTGCTATGAAAACAATAGTCATCGTGATGTTAAGAATGACGCGAAGTCAGATGCTGTTCGATTTATCAAGGTCTCTTCGAAAGCTATGATTAATCATTTAAGTGTGTATTAGCACTTGACTCTACAAGACCAAAAACCAAGACCACACAAAGTACCGGTGTCATACAGGTTCACCAACAGAGTAATCAACTCAGTAGTCAACTACTGAAAGAAATGATGTCCGTAATTTCAAATGATTCTTTCAAGATATCTCTAGCTACTCAGTGAAGTTGAACAGAAAAGGACTACCAAAAGCAGTCGCCCTCTGTCCTTTGTGCACATATATGAATCTATCGTTATGGCGGGACAGTGAAGCTGAACGTTTAGGCAGTTAGTTAGAAGTTAATTGAGCTGGGAAAATACGCGCATCTCATAGGGGGATTTACTCCAACAGCAATTCCAGCCAACTGTTTAAGTTGTTTATCACACGATTCTTTAAAGAAAATGACTGATGGCAATGAGAAACTTAAACAAATGGAGGAGGAGATGGATAGGTATCCAGTGTGAGACAGCTTAATTTGTTTTTGAATATAGATTCGAGGCTGAGATTGCTCATCAGTCGTCGGGCAAGACACCGAATAATATTCCAATCTCTGGCGGATTTACATTCCCTCCTGTTACTAACTTTATGCCTCCCCAGTTACGTGTTCATCAAAACCCGACCAACGTCGTGCAGCCAGTTTATTCGGGTAATCACAATTTTTAATGTAAAGTGTTATTTGACAAAATTCCAACCATAAAATTAGTAGCAAAAGGAGAGTAATTTTTCATAGTGGCATTTTGCTGTACACGAAAGGGAATTTGTAACATCCAGCAGCTTACAAGAGCAAGTCCTTGAAAACGCTTCATTCCTAATGAATGCATTATTTCACTGACTATGGACTGCTTAATTGGTAAAGTTAACAAAAAAGTGGCTATATACCTGTATCATTGTAGGTGACGGAAATAAATTTGATTGTCTTTCTACACAGCAACAAGGATAAAAGTATGAATGAACTATTTCAACACATTTCGACGCCTGTTGATCCATCGTAATAAATCAACACGTTTAAATCCCTGGTGCATAAAAACCAAGAAGTTTATACAGGAAGTAAAAAACATGATGGCAAACATGTGCTACCAAGTTGAAAGCAGAAGATTCCTCTGGAAACTTCTAAAAGTTACCCAATTTTTTTCAACACTTGCAGAAGTTTTATTTCATGTACTTAAACACACATTGGTACAAGAAAGCACCAAATACATATGCACCACACAAGTCACTCGACTTGTTCGCTCAGGATCCTAGAGCCCATGTGCACCACTGATTTGGAACCATGGTTTTCTAACTCCCCTAGGTGGATTCTCCGTATCTACCAACCTGGTTAGAGCGTCGAACATTCGCTTTTTGTCCTCTCAATTTCGTAAACATTATCTTTGCCTTGAGAAGGGAGTGAGCAGTACTTCCTTGTCAGAGGTTGTATACACGTGGCCATATGAGAGCATCTCGAGAGGGATAGTTGACTCTAAGCACTCTCGGTCGTACCAGGGCATTTGGGAGAAGTCGTGTCTGGAGTAATCTGTGGGCTTAGTAACAGGTTTTTTATCGTTTACTAAGCGAACCACCTAAAATAGTTCAGATTGCTTGCCAAACCAATAACTTTGACTTGTATTCTCCGTACTCTTGGTAGTATAATATTTAATTTTACTGTAGATGAATTTCTTGAATAAGTACTTATAATGAATGTTAGTCAATTAAGCTATATATATATATATATATATATATAAAATAATGTTTTTAAAACCTAAATTAATACAAAGACCCAAAATAGTACGGTCAATTACTAAGGGAGCAATAACGACGCCTACTGAACGTTAACAGGGACTCAACAAGATGAACCAATGAGTGTTGGTGATTTTCGTAAGGAAAAGGTGTGATTCCATAATTGGTGGTTAATTAAAAGATAATAACCTGTCTGAGAATAAAAGTCGATCAATGTTAGCGGTCGGTATGTCTTAATGTAACTGAAGAAATCACGATCTTCACATAAACGCAACTTATAAAGCACCTTTATAAGTCATGAGGTTATTGGAGGAATAGATGCATTACTACCTTATCTTTCAACTGTTAAATTATAAGTTGGAACTCTGTCGTACTTCATTTTGGATTACCTGCTGGTGTCAACAGCCCTCACAACGAAGGCGTGGCTCAAAGCCAAGTGTTGAAAGTTTCCCAATCTACAATTTTGTGACGTAATTTGTTTACCAGATACAGGTTTATGTACTTGGCTTTGAAGGATAATCTGCTTGTTTTAAGGTGATGATTCTTTCCAATCGCCCAAGGAGATTTAAGTGGGGTGTGAGTCGGTGATGTGGACTTGTGAATTCTACTTCGAGTGTGCTAACAGAATTCTCTTACGGCCTGGTGGTGTACTCGTTGCTCAAATCGCACTTGACCAGTTGTTGAGCAACTAGAATTATGAGACATGCTGTACACCATTGAAATAAAATCTGAATCTGGTAAATTAGAGAGAGCCTGCGCATGCATCTAATCTTAGTTATAAGCCATTTGCATCATTGGAAAAGGTCGTATACTGACGGTGCAACAAACAAAATCAACCTGTCCAGTGAAATTCCGTTAGACTTATGCTAATCTATGCCATCTTGTACCTACTTTCATGAGATATTGCCTTCGAAGTTTTCTCAAACTGCTTGAAACCTTACTACCAACTAGTGACTGATTTCTTTCATGCATCATTTTTACGAGAGAATATTTACAATGGACGTTATCAATCGTACCTTTGGAAATTATACCTCACCGAGTTGTATTTAGCCTGGTTACGATTGTATAAGTGAACTAACTCCTACAATCCATAGTTTCTGCTAGGTATATTAGTAGTAAAAACCTTATCAGCTGAAGGATATATTTTATTTTCCTTGAATTTGAACTGTATGAAGCAATATATATATGAAATGTCCTACTATCATTTAACATATGTCCTCTCAGCAGCTGCTCAACTTCTCTCTTACAGTCTTACCACTGCCTCCCGGGGTTCCCATGTTTGTTCATAAGTTTGTCTCATAAGAATATCACGCGTTTTCGGCGCCTAACTGTGTATCTCAACTCCACTCAGGGTATCTTTACGAATAATCCAAACTTTGTTAATCTGAATTCCCACCTCAACAATATTACTTGGGTATAGTTAAGAAACTTCGTGACACAATGATACTCTCAAAGGACGCAAGAAAATTGTCGACATTAAGATGCTAGCCTACTCCTTCCACACATTATGGCCTATTTGACGCAAATGTAGCTATATCTCGATGGAAGTCAACGTTAGAGCTAAATGGACATGATGTGAACCCAAAGGGCTTGAGTGAGGTCCTTCGATATAATGTTGTTTGACAGTGCCAATCATTCGATAGCTCCTCTATGTGCTCCACCCACCTGCTCCACTATTCTTGATCATCAGGGGGTGAGTTTCGTTTTTTGTTATTGACTGGTTGATCTGGCTTATTTTATCTCCCTGGAATTTCATTAGTTGCAACATATAGTTTCTTCATATTTCGTTCTATTTTATTTTGTTCTCTTGTATTTGTATATTTGTATATTTTCCATTGCCAGCTCTAATGCTCTTCTTTACTCGTTTGTTTTCACCTGCATTCTCAGCATGTATCATGACATTTTGCTATCATTATGATTGAAATTCAAGCATTTGTTCTGAACACAGAGCTGTCGAAACATAGTTCTTGATTAGACTAAGCTACGTTCTCCTGTATAACATAGTGTTTTTTGTTATTCGTATTATACTATATTGAAACACAAACTCCGTGCTCAACTCACGCGGTTCTTATGTATGATGGTTAACAAATAATATCAAAGGCACAAAACACCTCAGAGGTACAGCCTGTACCACACGGTTGGATGTTTCTTCGGCACAAAACAGCATACCGAACAGCAATAAATATTGTTCAAAAATAAGTTTGCGGTGTTTGACAACCAATAAAAGTATTCTCAACAAAGTTAGATCAAATATTTCTCGTCGACGATTCACGCAACCGTTTCCGGTAGGTAGTCGAAAACCAAAAATCACCAGAGTAACCAACTCGTAACCTTAGTGTCAATGGTTTGACAACATGTATCAGCAAAGTCAAATGATAAGGGTAAATGTTTAACCAAAGTCAAATAATTTGAGCCCAGAAAAGGTACAATGAAGAACACTGAACCTTAATAAAAGAGATCTAAACAGAAGATAAAATGCAAGACAAAGAGAAAAATGTAAAAGTAACTTTTCTGCCCAATAAAAAGATGCCATTTATGTATCCTAACACTGATTTTTTCTTACTAAATTTTAGAAATTCACACAATACTAATCGTTCAGCTCCTTTGAGTCACTCCATTTATACTATCCTGTATTCATTCAACTTCGTACTTTGGCTTGTTTTATTTAACCCATTGAAATATGCTTGCTTAAGAAGTGACATAATAAAAGGAATGTCTAGGTAGTCATATCTTGAATATTCCATTGCAAATAACCACACTTCAATAGTCATGGACACCGTCCGCTCCAGTTTCAGGCCTTCCATTTCCCGACTTTTTCAGCACTTTAATGGTATGCCATCGAAAACATGTAAGGAACATACGACGTTCTCCTGCGCCGTTGTTAGTACCTCCGATATTAATTTGGGAACGCTATCATGAAACACACAATAATGCGTTAAATTGACTGACTAGTTATGCGTCTAACTCATTACGTATATTTATAAACATCTTCGAACTTTACTTGATTTTATTCTCGACCACCGAATTCTCGTCAAAACGCAACCTCCACAAAGTACTCCAATTCTTACAGTGAGCATTGGAATCTTATTAATATTCTAATCTGTGAAAATCTGTCCCCTGTTTATTTGGTTAATGGGCATTGTAAAACACCAACTTGAGTGAGTAACTTATTAAAGCCTGCAGCACTCATAACATATTGATCTTACCGGTAAACTGCGCCTTACTAACAACTTGTCAGGCTACCTAGAACAGTATATAAAGCATTAAAAATATATTTGTGCCTAGTTACCAAGTCACGTAAAATCACATAATCTGTTAACGGCTGAGCAACGCAGATGTGCTTCATCTGAGCCGCCCCATTTCTCTAATCTACGTCGATGAATCACGAAGACTGCTTAAGTCATCTACACTTGTTTGCAGATGATGTTAAAGTATAGAGGAAAATAAGTAGTCAGACTGGTCATTTTAATTTCCAAACTGATCTAGACGGACTGATTTCATAATCCCAAAGTCCAGGTTTGGAAATTAATTTTAGAAAGCGTGCTAGTGTACACTGGACACGGCATCTGTTACTAGTATAATATAAACGGCAGGTCACTTTCATGAATGCAGAAAAAATAGTAGTAGTAAGTTGTGTATCGAGAACAACTACACACTGATATGCAACCGCTGCAAAAGATTTTGAATGTTGTGGTCATTTCATCTAGTATTCCAGTGCCTTGATGAAGACATATTTCGGGCTTTATATTTAGACTACGAGGCCTCACTTAGAGAATTGCAGCCAAGTAGTAAGTCCTACTCATATTAGGAATCCTATCACATTCAGTGGACAGAACACACATTGAAGAAAGCACCCACATAAAGTCCTTACTTGGAATCCTCAAAATTAAAGGAAAAGAGGAAGACCAAAGAAAACATTACACGATCTACTGAAAGAAGAAGAAACT